ATAGAATAGAATATAATAGAGAATGAAATATAATGAAAATAATAGAATGGAACAGAATAGAATATAATAGAGAATGAAATATAATGAAAATAATAGAATGGAACAGAATGGAATAGAATAGAGAATGAAATATAATGAAAATAATAGAATGGAACAGAATGGAATAGAATAGAGAATGAAATATAATGAAAATAATAGAATGGAACAGAATGGAATAGAATAGAAAATGGAATGGAATGAAAATAATAGAATGGAATGGAATAGACAATGGAATCCAATGAATATAGAATAAAATAGAATAGAATAGAATAGGGCAGAGCAGATCAACAGAACAGAACAATAGGAATAGACAGGACAAGTCAGAATAGAGAATAGAAATGATGGGATGGATAGATGGATACCAATTTCATTGTATTTACTTTGTACAATGACACTTAAAGGCTATACCATAGGACAGGATAGAATCAGGAATAGAAAAGAAACAGGAATAGAAAAAAAAACCCAGATACAGAACAGAATAGAATAAGGATTAGGAATAGAATGGAACACGGATTAGAATTAGAACAGAACAGTTTTCTGCTACCCCCCTAGATAGGCCTAAAGGTGTGTTAGTTGTGAAGGGAGTTGCTATCTACACACTTAGGTTTGGGGAAAACACGTCAAAAAGTACTTTTAAACTCTTTTTTTATATCACCAGCTCCTTCATATGAAGAGCCGCTTCTTTGAAAAGTGGCAATTAGCGTTATTTTCGCAAGGGAAAATAGTCCACCTATTTGTAAAACGGACCTTACTGGCCTCTTGTCACTTCAAAGCAGAAATTCCTCTTTGAAGGAAATATGACTGCACGAAACCCAGTCAAGGTCTTCGCAGCGATATTTCAGTTCTAAATATAAACATCCAGTTTTATTCCCGCGGGAGTACAGTAGATAACATTCCAAGCACAACTGATATTTTTCCTCCTCGGTTCCCGCCATCTGTCTTCCCTTATCCCGTATCTGGGTAGCATAATGGACGTAACAAGATAAAATCGTATTGGTTTTCTTTGTAAAGAATCTCTCTCTCTAATCCCCGTTTCGGATGTTTATAGAGGTTCTGCGTTCAGGAGATGCAAACTACATTAAAACGGTACAGATCGTCCCGGGTTAGGACCAAAATGGAGCTCGGAATTTCAGTGGTTATTAAATTGTGCGCACACTGTGATGGAGAACCTATGGCACACGCATGCCCGAAGTGGCACGCAGAGCCACGTCGCCTGTCATGCACGGGCCGAGGTGGCGCAGTGGTTAAATGTAGCACTGCAGGCTGACTGCAGTTCTGCAGTTCGGCTGTTCAAATCTCACCGGCTCA